CCAACCCTTATCGCTACCGGAACCATAGGCAATAGCATAACTCAAACCTTCATACATGATTTCTTTAGTTGAATATGGAGGTAAATCAAGACCGAATGAACATGTGTGCGATTCTAGAAGAGAAATAAAATAATTAGATTCATTGCTAAAGTACGGTCTAAAAAATCTTGACCAAGCATCTAAAAATTCTCAATGAGCTATCAATCTTACGTGTAGATTCGATAGATTTATCACAGAAACTTGTTTAACATATCTGAATCATATTCTATTCTTAGTAAAAAATTCGACTCTAACAATTTTCGATCTGATTTCTAATCTAAAAGTCATTAAGTGTATTTCGATTAACTATTGCTACGTAGATATCGTGTACTGGATTATGACCTTGGATGTCAGCATGGTTATAGCTCTTTTGTTTTTGCTACCAGTAGCAAACACTAGAGGATACCGTAGCTCTTTAGTCTCCGTTTTCTCTGAAGTGACTATTTGTAAATCGATTTCAGGAACCAAATTATGCTCGGAATTCCAAAATGCCAAAAGCACTTTTCTAGTAAACCTCATGAACTATCAATTTATAAAAAGGAATATTCGTTCAATCGCTGTGTTTCCGAAATGATGAACCTTCAAAATTGAGAAATTCGAAAACAAATATGACTTTTTAAAACCAAATGTTCTCTTCCGACATTTAATAGAGATCGTGATGGTTTTCTGGGTAATATACATAGATGAGCAGGCCTTCTAGTAATTTATATATATATATTGTTAGTTCCATAATAGCCTAGTGCATTAAAGGCAATAGAGTACAAAAGGAACTGTGTAGTTAATACTGTATCGGCACAAAGAAATCAAGAAGAAAACAAATATATACATTGTAAAAGTTACTCAAAAAATGCAAAGCTTTTCATGTCACCCAATCGAATTTTCTCACTAAATGATCACTAGATTAATCAAGCAATCTTGCACAAAGAGTAGAACATTCGATGGATACGACCAACTCGTTAACATATTAGAGAAACTAATAATCTATCTATAAGATTATGTTATCAGTTGCTCTTCTTGAACTGTTATGGGTGAACAAAAAGTGAAATAAATTGCTAGTATAAGCAGATTTTATTAGGATTATACACCTCTGTCGAAAGTTCACCTAGAACTTTCTCTTATTTGATAGATATCAAATTTTCAATAAACTTACTCGGAAGAGTATCATCGACATTACCAGTTGTTTCCAGGCGAGATATTTGCAGATTCGCTGAAAAATCTTCGTCTCTATTCGGTAATGTACTTCGTCCCCAAACAAATATTAAAAATAATTTTTTCTGTTCTTCACTAAACATCTCACTTAAAACAGACCAAAATCGAACAATATATGGTGCAGTTTCACTATCACTACTGTAGTATGTATGACGTTTCAACATTTCAATATCAATATAACCTTTACCGCAAACGGCTTCTTCTAATTCATTTGCAGTAAACAGAGTTAAATAAGCCGATGGTACAACACTATATAGACCTTGACGAATAAAATCAATTTGTCGATGAAATTCATCGACACGATATTGACGATAGCGTATACAATAATCTTCGAAATTAGCAGCAGTAATAGGAACATGAAAACCACCAGGAATAAGTTCATAAGTTTGTCCAGCTGAACTAACAACATCAAATGCTAGTTCACTCATGATACTACTAAATAAATAATCACAATCGGTGTGCGCATCACCATCTTCTGATTCATTGAGGATTTTTACTTGTTTAATATTTTCTTCCATTTGATTGATAATAGAAAAACTTGATATGTCAATAGCTTCAATATCTTCGATTGTAACTTTCTCTTGTACTAGTTGCTTCCAGAGTAAAATCGGAAATCGAATATCTAAAAAGTTTCTTGTACGTATTGCCATGCCCATTAGTTGTCCAACAAAACCATATTGATTTTTTAATTCATCGGGTATGGGTCGATCTGGTGAAAAAACATTCGGAATCCATCGATCACGATTTGAACCACTATTCGTTCGCCCATTAGGACAAAGAATAAATAATGGTAATTTTGTACTACATAGTTCGCCACACATACGTGTTATTGAATCTCTAAAGGGTCCACCTCCATCACTACTATACATACCGATAAAAACAGCCGTCCAAACTCTTTCGTCACTTGTTCGTCGAAATGTTTGAGATGCATTAGGATACATTTGTTTATATCCTTGATAAAACATTGTATCTTCAGGATGCTCAGCAAGACTAGCTTTTACAGTATCAAATTTTACATCTTCTTGTGATGATCCTGCACTAGATGCAGTTTTAGCTAAAGTATCACTAAACAATTGAAATTTTGTTGTATATAAAATATAATTTCGTGCTGCTCGAATTCGATCTGTAAGAGTACTACTACCTGGTGGTAAGCTCAAATCAATTATTGGTAAGACTTTTTCAATGAATATATTGAATAAATAGAAAAGTTTAGCCCATGTTTGTATATGTACCGATGGTATATCACGTAAATAACTAAATGATTGATATTTAGTTGAATCAGGAACAGACTCGGCTGGTAGAGTTTCAATAAATTGATTAAGTGACTCATGTGGTAATGGCTTCCAATCGAGATTAATATTTTGATTCATAAATTGCATTAATTGTTCATCAGCTGTCATATTGAAATAAACATGAGCTTTGTCAACCATTTCTTTGGTCAATGGAAGTTTTTCGCCTAAAATAGCATTCGATTGACTAAAAAGTGATTCAGGCCAGTGGCATTGTTTTGTTTTGTTCGTTAAAACATTGATAACATCGAGAATTATCGATACATCACGTGCTTCTGTTGAACATTCATTTAATGTTAAAATCAAATCTTTTTCTCTTCCGAATAGAGTAAATGCTAAATCCATGATAGCAATTCGAAAATTTTTCAATGCTATATTATCTAGGCATGCTTTGTTTGTTGTTAGTTCAATAAAAAGCTGTAGAATAAAATGTTGAATATTGCTGTGAAGTCTGAAATTCTCACTTCTTTGAGTCAATCTATTTTACAAAACATAAATAAAATTGGAACTCAAATCTAATTCGAATTCTTATTTTGTAGTCGAGTTTTTTTTTTTATCATATTCACTGAACTCATCGATAATTTTTTATAATAGGTGTTAGCAGAATCTCTGTGGTATTAGAATTTGAAACACGATGTGCAGCTGCTATTGCTAATATTTTAGATCGTGCTTCACAAAAAAGTAAAAACATCCATCGACTACAAACTTGTTCGTTCAACTCGAATGTACTTACGTAGTATAAACATGAAGAATGAATATTTTAGATTGATGTGACGGTACTAATAAAAAAAGGTCGAATAGCATCTTGATAAATAATGGTGGAAATAGTAATCGAATCATCAGATCGATATTGTATTTTGCCATCTCAAAATCGGTCAATAATTCCAAAGAGAGATTCACAATATTTAAAAGAAAATCTAAATTTGATTGTTTAATTAACATTTGTTCATCAATAGTTTCATCGTTATAATTATTCATAACGATTAAAGATGGTTCAGCAAGAAAATGAATCAATTCTTCAACAACATGTTTTTGTAATTGATAGAATAGTGGAGCTTTTCTAGTCAATATATCTTCAGTAATTGGTTTATCTATCATAGATTTTAATATTTCTTTTAATTCAAATTTTAATATCGACATGGTCAACAATTTCATTCTATTGATAGTTTCATCTACATGTGTACGTATACATGTATGATGGTAATCCATCAATCGGAATAATTGTATAATAAAATTTCCATCACCAAATTTATCAAGTGGAAATAAACTTTGATGATCATCAGTAAACCAGACTTTTAACATATTCAATATTGTATAACGTGTATAAATCATTATTAGTCCATATTCACAATTTGTACGTGAATGAATATATGTTTTTCGTGGTATTTGTCGATATGAATAATGTAATGATATTTTCATTTTCTTTCTTAATTCATTATCAATTATCGTGTCTTCAAAATCTGGTTTAGTTAAATCAACAAATTTATAACGAGGATCATCCATTGTTAATTGACTTGTCTCTGTTTTATCTCGCATCCATTCAGTTAGTTTTTCATTAATACCTACATCACGAACAGTTTTACGATACCATTCCTTTTCGGATGTCATATCATTATCACCATCAGGTGACATGCCATTAGATAATGTCGACATTGACAAATCGTTTGTATCATTGCCAAACTTTATTAACATTGATAATGTTCCATTTTCGTCATAGGAATTTAATCGTGTTAATATATTGATTTTTTTCTGTCGCTGCTCATCTCGGTGTATTTTTTCTATTTCTTGACTTTGTTCTCGTAGAATGGTATCGATAAAATGAATATTTGTCGTATTATGTTGTTTCATTACGTATTTAATTGATTCTTCTTTGTAACCAATGCCGATAAGACTTGTTGATAGAATGCATAACGGCGGAGCAACTAATTGATCTAAGGAATATTCCGTTGATTGGATCAATTTTGCCAATGAAGGACGGATTGTATCGGTTGATTTATTCGAAAATGTTATCGATCGACATTCAATTCGTAATTGATCATCACTGGTAGTGTTCTTAGTCAAATCTATCTCTCGAAACAGATCAATACGTTTCAATTTCGTTGCAAATTGATCATCTGTAATTGTTGCATTAAGTTCTAATAAACTGTTGACATAGATATGAACAGATTTCTGTTGAACAGAAATGAGCAAGCGCATATAGTCTTTTAATTTGACTATTGACGAACTTTGATGTCCTCCCGATAGACAAATATGACCGTCGTGTGTTAGAAAAATTTCTGATTGTGTATCTAATGTTAATAATGTCAACCGCGTTTCATTATTCGACGTAGCTGATGGATTATTTGTTGATGGAAAATTGGGTATAGAAATATCGAGAATCAATATATATTCAGACCATACTTGATTTGCCGTGTTTAAAACTAGATAAGTTTTATTTCCGAACAATTGTACGACCGATTGGTTAGTGCCTGATATTGTCTTAAAATAGATCGATTCATTATGATCAACACATTGTTTTCTTCTTTTCCATAAGTTCTCTTCAAATGGTTCAATGAATGGAATTAGAGCTTCATTTATAAAATATTTTTGTTCTGCCATAAATATGAATGTATTTGCTTGTTGTCGATATTCATTCAATTTTTGATAATCGACAGCAACATACAAAAGACCATATGTGAAGAGACGTCGTATAAGTTCTTCCGATAGTGTATACTTCCATACGCCCAAATTTCGAATTCCCACATTTTGATATGGCAAAAGTTGTAGAATGAGTTTTGATTTTATTGTCGGCTCAAAACTATGACAATAATTCAATGTTTGAAGTTTATTATTGATGTAGACTTTTGTTTGTTCGTTTGTTTGAAATAGAATAGCAACACGTTGTCGATATTTGATTGTTTCATCAATAAAATCATCATTCATATCATTCATATTTATTCGAATAGAAAATATTTCGTTCTCTAAGGTGAATAATATAATATCAAGTTCATCAGGACGATTTTCCATTTCATCCGTTGGAATAATTTCAAAATCAAAACTAATAGTCAATGATTGATGATTATCAATCGACAATGGAAAACCATCACTATCTTCTGATAATTTCAATAGATGATGATCAGTTGTTATCAAATCGATATTGAATGGAACTTCTAAATGATGATCATTAACAAAATCCCTCACCAAAGAAGTTTTCATGTCAGTAGAATTGTCGTTCTTCAGACACCGATTCGTATAGAAATATTGATGAATATCATTACCAATAAGATAGGCACTATATGGATAAGCTACTAGGACATTTTCCATTGTCACTAATTTTGGCATTAATAACGGTTTGTAACCTTTCGGTAAGGGACATTGAATCATATCTTCTGGACTAAATATAAATTCAACAGCACCTGTATTCGCCACATTATTATAGACTTGAACAGTAACACCAGGAAAATAGGTAGTACTAAGTCCGTTGGGTAACAAATTTGTTTTGATGGTTGATTGAATAGTAGTATTTTCCGAATGTGAAAATGCCGTACCTAAAAATTGATCATTTAACCAATATTTGATAGTAGTATTTTCGCCATCGATTTCAATACCACAACCACATACATCATCTGCATTCCAACGAATTTCATCATGAAAACTAGTTTGTTGATTATGATGGCAAACTCCTTGTGATCCATCATACCCCCAAGAATATTGATCATCGCCAATGCCTTGTGAACTATCTGGTACAGGAGTAAATCCGTTCGTTGCCCAGCCAATTTGTGCTTGACCACCTAGCAGAAATTTAACGCAAAAGTACCATTTACCTTCATTCAATTCTATACCATCAACAATAAATGTCGGATAACGAATATTTCCATTATCATCGGTTATGTTAACTCTTCCTTTAAATTTGTGGTTATTACCGCATTCTTCTAAGGCTGGTAGAGTATCATTGGTAGGTCGAGAAACAATATGAATTTCATCATTTCCAATTTTACCTCGTTTATAAGTTTGTATTTCATTTTTAAATACAATCGGTTTCCATCCTTCATCTATCGAACTCGATGTTGATAGATTTTGTAGAATGACAGGATCACGATTTATTTTTATCGAATTCCATCCGTTTATACTACGAATAATTTCAGGTTTATCTTCTACAATTTGTTTTGTTCTCTCGCATTTATCTAAACTTAAACTATATTGTTCTAGATGTAATCGATCAAACAATCGTAAATCATTTGATTTTTTACTATGAGTTGAATCATGATTGTCAATCGATATCGCTAGTTTAGCAATAAGAGATGCATAAGATTTTTGCATGAAAATGTCAACAATTGATTTATCATTTAATAATGAATAGAATGCTATTATAGCACAACGTTTGATTTGTAATAACAATAATGCGTCAGTTTTCGATGTATCAATTTGCGCAAGAAAGCCTAATGTATCAAGAATAGTATGAACTACATTATCTATTGGTAAAAGGGACGGATTCGGTGGTAGAACATTGGTAATGATATGTAATTGATTTGATGAAACCGATTGAGTATGATTTGTTGCAGCATATTGTACGAGATACGGTGTAACATCAGATGAATCCGATTCAAGAGCATTTTTATCGATTTCAATGATAGTTGCCGATTCTGATTCATGGATATTTTTATCAACGGAGTACACTTCTACCGTTGATCCTAAACAATATGGTTCAATATAACCACCTAAGATACATAATGATGCAAGAAGGAAATTCATTTGTTGTATATCAATAGATTCTAACGATGTAAAATTGAAATTTGTACTTGATTGAATTGCATTGATAATTAATTTAGTTGCCATTTTTTGCCATGGTGAATTTTGTGACATTATTGTACGATAGATATAGATAAATTCAATGACAATATCAAGATCTAATTTATTTGTTTCCGATATACTATTAAAATTTTGCCCGATAGAAAATAAAATATCCGTTAGAAATTTCTCAACGAAACAACGACATGTTATTTCGTTAGTATTGTCTGGTAAGAATACTAATAGATTACGTAGAATTTTTAACGTTAATAGACGAGTATTAAGAAGTTGACTTTGATGATATAAATTCAATAGTTGTTGAATACATTCCATTGTAGCACAATTTGATCGAATATGATCATACAAATGAACACATCGAAGTAGAAGCATTAAATATTGATTGATACAAGCATCGATATCAAACGTTGATGATGAAATAAAATAGCTGACGGCAGCATTTTTCAATGATGGATTTTCGTTTTCTTTTTCGGATGTTGATTTATTCTGTTGCAATTCTTTGAGTTCAGTTAAAATTAACTTGTTAAAGATCAAATCACGTTGTTGTTGTAAAATATGATGAAATTTTCGACTACCAAAATGTGTACTTCGCAATTCTTCTATTTTAATATTTTCACATAATTTCAATACAAGTAGACGAAACCAGTTGAATGCCATAAGTTTCATATCCTTTGAAATGACAGTAGTCGAATCCATTTGAGCAAATCTAACAAAGGAATGAAATAGTTCTTGAATAAATTGAAAATGATTAAAATGACATAAATCCATCGAATCATACGATAGATTTAATAGATTAAATAAACAAGACATAAACACTGTTTTCATTTGAAATTCAAACGTAGATTCGCTTAAAAATGATAATACTTTTTTGACAATTAAATAGTATTGATGTCCAATAGCTTCTTTCAATTGATTATTTGATGCTTGAATATTTTCGATATAATGCCAATCTAAATTATTACCTTTCAAGTTCGTTAAATTCATAATTAGAATATTTAAAATTTGATTATTATCTTTAATAGTGGTTACTTGTTCGATAAATCGATAAATAAATATATATGTAATCCATCTAGTCATAGCTCTTTGATATTGTCGAATCAAACATTTAACAACTTCATCAGATTGAATTTTCAATTCACTATTTACTACAGATGTCAATGTATCATTTCCATATAGACAACTAGTAATAGCTCGATGCATGACACTTTCACTGTCCTTCTTTTGTTCAACGGCTTGTTTTTTTGCCAACATCAAATATTTTAATCGTATACATGCATTCAATGCATTACGAAGTAATCGAATAATATATTTTGCTTTTGTCCAACGTGATTTTTGTCGCTGTAATTTAGATTGATGGGTAGCAATTATTGGTAATGAGAAATCTTCTTTATATGTTGATATGAAAGAACTTTCTTTGACCGATACGAGTAATAATAATGCATCACTCTTAATTCTTTTATATAGTTCATTACAATCACCACCTTGAGCTTTCGTCGTAGCAAAAATCGTTCGTACTTGATTGGCATATTCATATAGTGAGAGAAGTTTAGCATGTGGTTTTTGATCGATTGGTTGAGTTAATTCATGTTGAGCTAGATCAATACGACGATAATGTTTGATATAAACTGCAAATACTGCAGCACATGTATCATTAGCATTCGATTCAATTGATTTTTGTAAGATATGTTGTTTATCTCGAGTGAATAATTTCATTTTTGAAATCAATTGTGCACCTTGATCAAGATTATTATAAACTGAGAGTAAAAAAGCATTGTCTAATACGGATTGTTGTCGTCGACAAGGTACTACAAATTGACTGTAAGTAATTAAATCAGATTTGAATAAATTCGATAAATACGGATTATTGACTGTTGTTAACGTTTCATATCCACCAGAAAATAATGGTAATTTCAATGTAGTATTATATTTTTTCTCTAATGGACTTTCAGGTGGACCAACAATTAATCGATAAATCATTTTTCCAAATAGCCATGAAATTAAATAGATATTTTTATCATCTACATCGATTGTTGTTTGTGTTAAGTATTCAGCAAATACAGGTAGAATAGCAGTAAATATTGGTTGTATGTTAGCAAAGTTAAATTTTGATTCCGTAAGAGTACATAGACCAAGGAGAAGTGGCTCTAGCAAAACACTTTTAACTCGTTGTTGGATACAATATTTAATTACATGTGTTGTATATTTCATGCCAAGTGTTGATAGACCAGATGATTCGAGTTCATCGGATACATCAATCGGTTGATTATTCAAATGAACTAATAACAATTCTTGAAACATGAGTATGATTTCGCGTATTTGATTGACTTTTTTAACATCCATCGAGCTTGGTTTTAAGACAATATCAATGAATGAATGTAAGACTGTATATGCCAATTCTCTATCTTGAATGTTACGATCATCACATAGAGTTTCGATCCATTTATATATGAATATATTTTGAGTTAATTTATCAAATAATTGTTCAATTAATATCGGATGTTTATTTTCCATGATATATGTATGAAAGAATGTCAAAATTTTAGGAAATAATAATAGTTTCTTGTCAATCAAGTAGATCAAAGCTTCCGATGCTTCTTTTTTTCTCTCTTCTGATTTATCACCGAAGGCAAATTTTGATATCAATGTGAACCATTTTTCAATATCATTTTCGTTCATAAAATCATGAAAATTGTCAATATTTGAAGTGATTAAAAATTTTAAATGTGTTGCAAATAATCGTAGACAAACAGTCAAGATGTATCCAAGATTATCGTTCGATGATGTTTCCATCATAGTTAATTGTTCGATTATTTCATATAAATATTTGAATGTTTCTGGTGCACATTCGAATGAAAACGAACTATCCATAGAACCACGTTCGAATTGTGGTTTTGCATGAAGTTGATTGTGTAAATCGATATGAACAAGTAATATTGAAGATATGAGTTGACCAGTAAATTTCTTCTCGTTTAATGCTATTAATTGTGTGCTTGGAAATGCTTGAATTGTTTTGAGATATTCCAATGAGGCTAAACAATTTCGTTCGATATCGGATATTTTCTCGGTGGATACAGCCGCTTCTAGAAGAAATCAACTTCAGAGTAACTAAATAAAAGAATGATCGACATGCTCCCTCAAAAGTATTTATTTGAACCTCAATACCATATTTTATGACATACCCATGCCTTCATAGGTAATATGTGCTTAGTCAGATTGAGCGCAAGAGATTCTTGCTTCAATAATGATCAATATCAAAATGCAGGGATACGACATCAATGGAAATTAGTATCTTTTTCAGTTGAACACAGGAAGGAGTTGATGATTTTTTTCAAATAGTCCGAATTTCGATAATTCTATATGGATTTCTCTTACCTGCGTCGTCGCTATGCGCAGCATTCTGTGGTGTAGTTGATATCTGTTTTTCTTTCTGGAATTGATCTATCATTGTTGTTAGGTCTTTATTCAATTCTATGAATAATTTTCGTATGTCATAAATATCAGTTGTATTGAAAATTAATTTTCTTATTAATGGTAAAGCATCTTTCAATGATCCTTTGATAATTGAAAAATTCAATAAGATTTTAATCGATTGATTTGCTACAACAGGATTAATTTCAGTTTGAATCGAGAATTCATTGATGTAATTGACCAATGGTTTCAAAGATTTAAATAAACTACTTGATCTTTTGTAAACATCTGGTGAAAGATATTTCAATGGAATTTGTTCGACAAGTTGATTTGTGAAAATGAGCATTCGATGAACAATAGTAGAATCATATTTTTGTACTGATTGGAGTAACATCACTAGCATGGATATTAATGATTGAACAGCAAAAAATGAGAGTTGTTCAGCTTGAAATTGATGTAATCGTGTTTGTTTAATTGAATTATTTTCTTTTTGATTTTCATTTGATACAGTCTCCGAATTAGAAGAATCGACAAATGGCTGAGCAAATATAGAAGTAGTTGCATTTGCATCATCTTTCAATTGTTCAGCATGGGATTTTTTCAATTGTTGTTGTTTGTCAATGATCGATTGCATTGCATTTTGTAAAGTTGTATTTGTTGTTGCAACACGATCAAATACTTGTTGAATTATTCCTGCAATTTCCGTATTGAATGCATCTAGTCCAGGTGAATTCGTTAGTAAGGATAGATCAGTTCGAATTTGTTTCATTAATGTTTGCTTTGTAATTGGTAGTTCAATCGAACTTTTCTGATCATGATCATGAGATAAGATCAAATTTTTACTGATTGAATTAATGATATCCAACGGTAAAAACAAATGAACATCTTCTGTTCGACCATCAGATAATATCTTATCTGAATGTTGATTATTTTCAGTCAGTAAATCAGGAATTTTCAAATTAGTCAAAGACAGTTGTTGACCCATATCTAAGTAAATGATGATCAGTTAATCAAATAAGTCAGTGAAATGCTTTCATAGTATTTTTGACAACAGATCTAGAACATAGAAAATCAGATATTGTCCAAAATCCATAAAAAAAGATATTACTCCATATCATCACATTGTATAGGATTTCTAGCTTACGCTATTAATACCCTGAATCATCTCAGAACAACAGAAAAACTACATTTCCTGTGTGAAAAGTTTCAAATACACAATCGAAACTCAGTTTCCCTATGGTTCTAGGAAAAAAAGACAGCTGCGAGATTTCATTTAAAAATACAGTATCCTGCCAGTGATCAGCTATTAGTCCGAATTCTATTAATGATATTATTCATAGCTCATTGGAATCTACATAATACAAATAGTCCTGACTCAAAAGTGCTCTGACACTAGAACGACTTTTCTAGTTATCACGGCAGTCATAATCTCTTCATGATATGAATGTACTGCTTAACTATGACTTGACTGAATATATCACATTTCGAATTCAAATAATTATTTTATCTTTCTTTCATCGACATTAGACTCAAAGAAAAACACTAGGAGGAAAGAACAGCAGACACTTCAATCTGTTTCGAATAACACAGAAAAGTTTTTGATTTACTTCATCAACTCTTAATGAGACAGTTAACAACGTAAGTTAAGTGATTTAGATCACTTGTGCCATATTAACCTGGAAAATGAAAAATCAGGCAGTTTGAGTCGAAGACAAAGTTTATCCTATTATGTAGTTAAGACGGCATCCTTCAATAGATTTTTGTTCTTAACTAATATATAGAAATTTTATCGAATAAATGTCAAAAACAAATGCTAAAACATACTTTCAAGAAGAAAAAAACAACAATAATGTGATGGTTTTGCTTTTGTATGAATAAAATCAAGCGACAACGTTTTTTTTCTTGATCATATTCGCAACGAAATCAATACTACTTTAATGCGCAGATGAATATATTTTTCTTCTTCGACAGCACTTAAAGGAAGAACAAAAACAAACAACTCATCAAATGGGCACACATGTTAACTAATTGATTACAAAGACACGTGGCTTACGAAATTTATTCGCCATCCAAGGAAGCCACCATTTAGCCGAAAAAAGTTTTAAAAAAATGTAATAGGAGACTATGAATAATCTGAATATCATATATTTTTATTGACAAAAATAATCAAACGTAAGAGATCTGTAAGATATTGAATTTACTTTCTCTCATTAATTATTCAACAGAGTAACGTAGAATCACATAGAAACGAATTTCAATGTTAAACAGTCACAGTCAAACGATCGAAATACTCTTGAATTTTATAAGTACTCCACTTTTATTGTATAATGCAGTTTGTTTAGAATTCTGTCAGTGATTGTCTATCGGAATCAATGAAAAACATAAGATGAATTTAGACGTTTAACTAGCAAACGTACAAATATGTCTGTGTGCTATCATGTAATGGTGCCAGTGCCCGGTAAACTTTAGCGTAAGAATTAGCTATGCTTCATTAACGATTTCGGTGTTAGTCTCTTGCGAAGAAGAGCTTAAGCGGATTATTAGTTCTATTCCTATGCATGAAAATGGCTATTGAGAGAATTTTACGAAAGAACTATTAGATTAGATAAATATTGGGTTATTTTTTTGTTTGTCATATTTACCATATATATCACCGTTGCTTCATCGCGTTATACGGTAACAGAAGGCAAAAAAATAGAAAGAAAGAACAAGAAGAAACAATTTCATTACTTCAATCAAAAGTGTATATGCTTATTCAGATTCGCAAGGGTCGATATGTGTTTTTTCTCCTTTTCTATGGTATGATTCATTTACAGAAGCAATCACAAAATTCGACTACAGTGTTAAAAGTAGAAGAAGAAAACGACCACTTTTTTCTTTTGCACGTATGTGTTTTTAACTGCCTGGATAATTTGTAGAAAGCAAAACAAGTATCGAAGCGCTCCATGCAACTTAATAACTTGTCTACAACCACGTTTTGTTGAAAAAGATTATTTCAACTTCGCACTTGAGAAATATTTGTTAGAGGCGATTTATGTTTCCTTGCAATATACTATAGTGTAAACATGGCATAGTTGCAATTGTCGGAAATTGTAAGCAATGTTGTTCATGTAGAGAAAATTTCATAGCTTGCTCGAATAATTATGCTAACTTAGACGAATATGATATTTATCAAAGTTTGTAAATTGTGTGTAACATTAGAAAATCTCAAATTATAAACTGTCTAAACTGAATCAAATCTTGCCTCATCTTAATACCTTACAATTCTATAACATGTGTGATAGATATTACTATTACCATGGCCAATCGAATTCAATAGAAAATGAGATACGTTCAATGGCGTTCGTGCATGTAATTAAGAAGAAACAGGAGTTTTTTTTGCTTGTTTCGTTCGTTGATTCTGCTTCTATTGCCTCCACGACAAATCAGTAAACAAGGTCTGAGAAAAATTATTTTTTCTTCTGTTCTGATTTATTTGTTTCTTCGATGTGTGCATTGGATGGCTTCAATCAACCACTACTATTGACTAGATGCGAAAAAGAAAATAGTGGGCGCTGCATGTATTCAAAACCTCCTTGGAATTTATGGCAGCTATGCAAATGAACGATATATGTAATCGAGAATGAGTATCTCTAATTTTATCGTTGATGTTTGGAATAACTTGAGAAAAAATAGTCTCAAAGTCGGTTTGCCACTATTCCATCATTCATTTTCATTTGTAGATTCGTGGCTCTAGTACAGTCGTAGACGATGCTTGTTGAAATCTTCACGTGAAACGATTGTGGCAACCAAAGTTTGAGCGTCGCGTTTTGTCGTCCTAGAACATCTTTTTCACTACATTGTTTGTCTTATCTTTCAAGCAGATACGAAAATAATATGGTTTTAGTTGAAGCGAAATCAATCGTGATTACTCGAAATCATGTTGACGTCGACTTTGAACTGTGTGTGATGCCGTAGGAACAAGTTTTACTCTTATGCTTCCGCCAACATTCAATCATACGATTGTGCTTTCATTTGAATCAGCTCTTCGAGTTGTACAAGTATCTATGAATATATTTATTAGAATAAACATTTTAAAGTTCATTCATATTGTTAAGTTGCAAAACAGTTTAAATTCTGCAAATTATAGTTTTCGCAGTCTATGCTATTTTATTCCATCAATTATGTGTCATTGTTTAAATAATCATGATTGTATCCATGCAAGGTGAACACAAATGCCTAAGTATACAGAGGAAGATCGAAGGGGTGTAGGCCCCAGTGGACAGCCAGGCGACAGAATTTGTTTGTGAGCTAGTAGTCGTCTTACAGCAGCTACCATAAAGTAGGTAAAATAGGTGAATATCACTGATAGGGTCTTACAAGTAAATTTAATGTTTCTAATTAAAGATCTAATTATATCTATAAGATATTATGCAGTTATTTAGCCTTATATATTTACTATATATTACAGGCTTTTCGGACTTTTAAGTTTCTTCTACTCTAATAGAGCCAGAAACCTGGTCGTAATATCCTAAAAAATAACGCTTAGTGAATAATGTCATTTGCTTCCCGAATTTTTCCGGCGCTTATATTTGACTTTTAATATATTATCTGATAAAACATATCTTCTATCATAAGTGGATGTGCAAGGATGCGCACTTGAATCCTTAGTGAGATATAACGTCGCAAATGCAACTTACAATGTAGATAGGTTCTGAGGGGTTTGTATAATAAATACTTATCTTTTTGATTGATTAAGTTTCCAATAGACAATAGAAACTCAAATACATCAGGGTAAACCTCGTACTCTCTCTCTCTCAGATCACGTTGCATGTTGAATGTTTAGTTTTGACCTGAAAGTTTGTATAAATAATCTTTTCAATGAAACTAACTAGTTCATTGTGAAAGTTTCAGCTGTTTCCGTTGCTTCTGTCGTGAGATACGGATATTCAAAATTCTGTTGCGTGAGAAAGCAAGTTTTTTACTTTTGTTAGAATATCACAACAGAAGCAACGAAAAAGGCTGAAACTTTCACAATGAACTAGTTTCATTGAAAGCATTATTTATCCAAAGTTTCAAGCCAAAACTAAAAGGTCAACATTCAACATGACCTGAGAAGACCTAGGGGGTTTGTTCAGAAGCTCAGTAAAAATTCTACTTTTTAGAATTTTTATGAGTAGAAGAGACTAAATGAGCATAGATATCCAGTATTAAGCGACAACTATAATTATACAAAATATCAAGTTTTAAGCTATATTAATTGTAAGGATTGTTCTTGCTTCCTTTTTCTGTTCATTGTACCTATTCACACCTACACCCGTCGTCGGATTCTATTCAATCTTTCTCTATGAGAAACATAATAGAGATTTCACCAAAATGATTCCATATATCAGCTGAAAAGCGTCCGACAGGCACGAGCACAAGTGACAGCATATACATGTATCAGTGTAGTTCAAATGATTGCCATTTCATAATCAAGCAAAAAGTTTCATTTTATTTTGAAAGAAGATAATTTGTTTGAGTAGAAGAACTGATGCAATCATTAATCAAAGAACGTTGCATTTCAATTCTCAAAACCAAGGTATGTATCATTACTTTATGAGAAAGATTTTACCGTCTATGAAACTTGAGAATGTTCGATCACTACAATACACTCTCTGGCAGCATTGCTCCTTGAAGAAAAAAGTCGAATGTTGATTTTGCACTTACATGAATCTATATCTCGACATGCCCTTCATAATATAATTAAAACCTGACAGATGAACAAATCATCATTCTGCAGAGGACTTGGTTTTTAAATAGAAAAAAAAATGAATACTTAAAAGCACATTACAAATTTTAATATCACTTCAAGGGTTTTTCACTATGGACAGAAAAAACAACAAATAATAGATGCGAAAAAAAAATCACACTGTCTCAATATCGAACTCGAAGAAGTACTAAGATCACAAGAAATCATCACAAGATAAAGAGATAAAGTGTGTGATCAAGCTATCACACTCAATT